AAATACTAGCAGTAAAAGTAGAAAAACAAATAAGATCCGTAATTTTTATCAATTTAAAAAAAATAATAGGAACTGGCGTGTAGATATGTTATTTTAACAAAAAGAGTACTCCGATATTGCACAAATCCTCATAAACCCTTTTATGTCACATGAAATCTGAACGTAGTTAGGACGTTGGACAATTTTAAAACCTTTACAAAGAACCGCTATATGGTCCAAAATATAGAAAGATTTTCCATGGTATTATAATTAACAAAGAACTCGCGTTGGCTTTTAATAAAAATTGTATAAATTGAAAAATACTGTTCTAATAAATTCACATATATATATATATATATATATATATATATATATATATATATATATATATATATATATATTGTTTGTGTATATATATATATATATATATATATATATATATATATATATATATATATAATTAATAAACAATAAAATCTAAAATTACCTCATATGGGGAACAGCCTATTTTGGCAGACGAAGATATCGGTGATCTGTCTTATCAACCCCGGTGTGGAGTGGGTTCGTGTCTATACAGTCATGAGGGGGCGGAAGTAAAATTTAACTGTGAAAGCTAAAAGTCTAACCTGACGAAAAACTAATATAGAATTTATTCATTCCAATGTTTCAGTCAGATGAAAGCAACGAGACAGGCACAGGCGAAGATGGAAGCTATTAGTCATAAAAGGAAGAAGTTTTATAAAATTAAACCCGAATATTAACCTTATGACATCACTTTGGAATTTTAATTTAAAATTAAAAAGGAATAAAAGGGGTCTAAAAATATAGATAAAAGGATGTAAGTGTTTAATGGAAAGAGACTTGGGGAAATATTAAAGTAGGACAAGTTTATAAATTATAATTAATATAGTTTAAAGAGGTTATTGAGGGGGGAATATAAAAAAAATATAGAAATTAGAATAAGGTATACTTTCGACATTTGAAGAGTTAGAGGTGAATGATTATTATGGAAATATGGTAGCTAATTAAGTCAAATCTATATTATGGAAAGTTGTTTTTTTTGTGTCGACATTTTAACACTAATTCATTCCTCTAATTCAATAGTTGGTTTTGGTTATTGTATTTTATTCAAATTTTTTCTTCTAAACATATGTCACACGTATCCTTAAGACTATTAGGAGTAAGTGCTGAACTACACTTGGATTATATACCAACGGATTTGTTACCTTTATATATATATATATATATATATATATATATATATATATATATATATATACTGACATACCATGGCACGTCGGGAATCGAACTTAATCCACAGGTAATTTACCTAATATTTCAAATTAACCAGAAGCTTTCTAAGTTGGAATTTTGTCATGGTAACGATTGTGCCTTAGTTTTTTTTTTTTTTTTTTTTTTTGTTTTGTTTTTCAGTTCTTATGATAATGAACTAAACGTTGACAACAGAACAGCATTTTTAAAATTCAGCTAGTTTTCACGTATTTTCCTCTTACATTGATTGATACGTTTTCTACGGCTTATCAACCCATTCCAGGTTGTTTAAAGCCGAAAATATTATCAGCTTGTACGAATATTTTTAAGGTAATAATTGTTTATGCGATACAAGTCTTACTAATTAACCCATAGCTGGAGGATTATAGATGGATTCTTACCTTTCCCAAAGGTATTTGCGCGTAACTGAATATAACGAACCCAAAGGGTATTGAAGCTCCTCTCTCCGATTGACAAATTCGAGCCATCATCCATTACACCACCCGCACATCCTAGCTTACAGTACCTGGTATTACCTAAGCGGCCACCCATCTAGGTTCTGACCAGGCTCAACGTTGCTTAACTTCGGTGATTGTACGGGATTCCTCTGGCATACTTTGTTTGGATATTTCATATCAGCCATTTTATCACATACTACACACATGGATACGGGTGTGGGTGATCGTGGGTGTAAGTGTGGAATTGTGTATATATGTATGCATTAAATTAAATTGCATGATTTTTCTTAATCTATACGGCATGCGTTTTCATGATATGAGTGATCAAGGCCCTCCGCAACATCCTGTCTTTTGTAACTCTAAGTAATATTCACCCCTTACTTTCTTTCCAAGTCCCTGTTTTGGCGTCCATTTAAAACTCGTCTTGTAGGTTAATTGTTGCCCTTCCCTCTACTCTTATTGCTTTCAATATGTCCTCTGTGAGTCAAATTCTCCACGTCCTCTTTCCTCATTATGTGTCACAGAAACTGCAACTGTCGCTTTACGATTCAAAATCTGTAATGTTTACGGTCCTGATGTGGCATCTCATCCTCAGTCACTTTCCCACCGACGTGACTGGGTTTTTTTTTCTAGAAATATTTCCATGCAACTGTTCTAATGAGATCTGCTCCTTGTTACACAGAGCACATGAATTTAAGCGTAATACTAGATTGGAAAATTAGTTCTCTTACTTTTGAAATATATAGATATAGCTGTAAGTTTTTGATTTCCTGTCCCTTTGAGATATTCAAAAAAATAATTGCAACGTCAATCGCCACATTATGTCTTCCTGATACCTGTTCCTTTATTGTCGTTTCTCATTACCAAATTCTCTTTCACTGTCAGTAAAACCTGGCGTTTTGGTTGCATTATAGCGCTGCTTGGATTGAAATGATTAAAAATAATGCAATTAATCTTTTAGTTTCCATTATCTTTTTGTTCAGTCTGTTGTAATTTCGATCTTTGAGTAGTACCACCTCGATTGTGCATCGACTCTCTATTTCATCTGTAAGAAAATTGTACAGTATTCGCTCTCATATAGGAAAGCTTACCTTGAATAACTGTTGAGTACTCAGAGGATTCCTGTTTCTTAATATTTTTTTTGTTTGTTTCTGAAATGTATCCTTTAAAGCACCTTCGGATTTCTGTGTCGCATTCTTTGTCGTCTGATCTAACATATCCTAAATATTTAGATTTCTCTAGTTTCTTGATTCTGACATCTCCAGTTCATAGCTCTCATTTTAGATTATATAACCTTCAGCAAGAGTAACAGCCAATGATGAAAGTTACGAATTGGAGACGTTTTCTTACCATTGAAGGTTAGTATTCGCTTTCTTTTATTACCTTGTGCAGTCGTTCCTACCGTTTTCATTCCGTATCTGTCATCATCACGTTGTCGACTGCGTATATTATGCTGTTAAAATTGTGTCCATCACTAATAAATCCTTGTAGGCCTTCCCGTTCTCTTTGGATCACCTCGCCATACAGGTTAATAAATCCGGTGAGAAGACGCGTCCTTGTCTTAATTCCCCTTTAAATATCCATATGCAAGTGCTTTATTCCCAGTAAATGTTCCGGTTCACTTGCGAAAAGGGTAGTGAGCTGTAATAAGTGAAGATTTGTGCTAATGCCCTGAGGGAAACTATAACTAACGTGGAAGCTGGGAAACAAAAACCTAAAATGACACCTGATATCTAGAATTAGAACGAGGCACTTGAAATTTCTGGGACGCAGAAAAGAGCAAAGAAGTCTTAGAAAATTTTACATTTTCGGGACATATCGAAATCAAGACGGACAGATGGTAACAGTGAATAATCTACCTAAGGAACTGGAATAAAAGATTTTGATTGATTGATTGAATTATTGTGGGTCATTTACGACGAAATCATATTTTAGATTGAAAGTATAATTTTTTGGCGAGTGAATACCACATTAAGATTTTTTTATGAATGAATAAGAATTTTTATCAAATCTAAATAAATAAACTAATTAATATAAAATTGTATCTATCCTGATTAATGTCAATAAAGAAAGTTTCTGATTGCCCGATATACAGATAGTTGTTGCATGTTAATCATATTTTTACCAGCTGCTCAAAGATACAGAAATTACAACAGACTGAACAAAAAGATAATGGAAACTAAAAGATTAATTGCATTATTTTTAATCATTTCAATCCAAGCAGCGCGATAATGCAACCAAAACGCTAGGTTTTACTGACAGTGAAAGAGAATTTGGTAATGAGAAACGACAATAAAGGAACGATAAAGGAATTTACTTGCTTTAAAAGAAAGAACAAAATCTCGAAATTAATGCCAAAATTCCCAGATATATACTTTTGTGTAATTGTCTAATTTTAATGTCCCAAATTTGTAGCTTTTTTATTGAACCTATCTTTTATTAACAACACTCTTTTGTCATTTTGTAGTTGATGGCTAATCTTTCTTCCCGTTTTCCATTGCTTTCTTGTCTTGAAGACGCTTCACTTTTTTCAGCGCCTTCCTTTAAAATGGTCTTATCAACGTATCCTATGTCTAACGTCCCTATAATTCTTTTTTTTGTAATGCCTGTGTAGACATTACTAAATACATACATTATTTGATTAACACATATAAATGTTATACAAGTTCTCGGCCTTACCAAGAAGCTTTTCAAAGGTTTGAAAAGTTTGCCAGTTTGTTTAGTTATCGTATCTTTCCGCCATTTCAGTCGCGCCATTTCTTCTATCAAGTACGTTTCTGCTCAGAGGCAGAAAAATATCAGACAGAAGGAAAAACAGAAGAAAACAATAGAACATAGGTAGGAACTTCTATCATATCAGCAATTCTACTTCACACTGATTTGAAAGATTCTTAAGACTACGCTTCTTATTTGCGAATGTTCTATATTCTCTTAAAAGATCAAAAATGGCATATCAAACTTTTCCCTGGAGCAGGAATTGGCTGAAAATAAGGATATTTCCGTAAGTTTATTTTTCTTCGAAGAAGCCTTTAGCAAATACGAAAATTTTCTTTACATTATTAATTATATAAAATTCCATTCTCTGCCGTAAAGAATGAAATGATTTTTGCTGAAAAGACGAAGGAAAAAAATAAATAAATTCAAGTGAGGAAGAAATGTTTAAAAAATGAAGGAAATGAAGAAAAAAAAGGAACGGAAAAAAGGAAAATAAGTAAGAAAAAAGAATGAAAAAATAGATATCATGAAAAAGAAATAAAGGAAAGAAAACGAAAAAATCCAAGCGAAGAAAAACTAAACTGAAGGATATGAGTCAGTGAAAAGAAGTAAATATGAAGAAATTAAAGAAGAGAAAAGAAGGAAATTTGAAGAAAATAAAGAAGAGAAAAGAAGTAAAAATTCAAGGAAGTCAACAAGATGAAATAATGAAAATGAAAGAAACAAAAAGAGGAAGGAAGTAAAATAAATGAAGGAAAGAGAGAAAGGGAAGGATTGAAAATTATGGAAATAAAGAAGCGATAGGAAGCAATAAATAAAAAAATAAAAAGAGGGATGAGTAAAAAAAAAAGAAATAAAGAAAAAGAAACAACAATGAAAGAAATAAAATAGAGAAAAGTATAAAAAAGTGAGAGATGAAGAAAAGCAAGGAAGTAAAAATGAAGGAAAGTGAGAAGGTAAAGGATTTAAAATATTAGAAATTAAAATGAGGAAGAACGTAAAAAAGAAATTACGGAAGGTAAATGAAGGAAATAAAAAAAGAGGAAGGAAATAAAAAAATGAAGGAATTAGAGAAGAGGAAAGATTGAAAATGAAAGAAATAAAGAAGCGGAAGAACGCGAAAAAAATGGAAGATATAACAAATGGGAGATGAGAACGAAAGAAATAAAAATGTAAAAAAAGACGAAAGAAACGAAAAAGAAAGACGCAAACAAGATAATGTAATGGAAATGAAGGAAATAAAAAAAAGACGAAGGAAATAAAAAATGAAGGAAAGACGGAAGAGAAATATTGAAAATGAAAGAAGAAAAGATGAGGAACTAAGCAAAAAAAAAAAAAATAGAAGATGCAAGATGAAAGAGAAAATAATGTAAATACAGGAAGCAAAGAAGAGGAAAAAGTGAAAAAATATAAAGAAAGAAATAGTAAGAAAAAAAATAAAAATGATGGAAATCCAAGATCTGAATGAACAAAATTTGAAAAACAAATAAGGAAAGGGAAAAAAGAAAAGTTAAGGCAATAACGAAGAAGGAAAAAATACAGGAGTGAAAGAAAAGAAAAAAAGAGGATATAAATGAATGAAAGAAGATATTAATAAAGAAAAAAAAGAAAAAAAGCGAGAAGTAAAACAGAGATAAACCAACAATTGTTGGTAGTAAATAGAGAAATACCCCCGGTAGAAGAGGACGACACAACGAATCAACTACCGTCTGTGACAAGTTAATCAACATGATCGAGCTTCATCGTGGTATCTCGCCCGGTCAAGCCGAAAAGGTAATGATCAATATAGTACTAGATATATTGTCCTTTTCTGGCAACACTAAGAGAAGTACTAACTTCTTTCTTCTTTTATGAGGCGTATCTCTTTCAGAGGTGAGTGATCATGGCTCGCTACAACCTCCTGTCTGTTGTAGCTCAGGGAGTGGGTAGGATAGTAAAAAACATACTGTCCTCCTCACTCGTTGTCCGATGAGTTTCTCAGTGTTTCCATCTGCCTTTGTTTCTGCCATGCGAGTGTCAAATTCTCCAAATTCTCCTTATTCCTTATGTTCCCCAGAAACTTCATTTGTCTCTTTCTACTTCTAAGAATATTTTTTTTTGTTTTTTTTATTTCATTAAGAAATCCTCGTTATTCATATTTTCTGCTTATAGTATTCTCAGCATTCCTCTCTATTACAACATACACGTTGCTTCAAGTTTTCTCTTCATCTCTAAAGAAATTGCCCAATATTAACAGGCATAGAAGAAGAATGATATCACGGAGCTTATCAGCACTATTTTCTTTGTTTCTAACGAAATTTTCTTATTACTTAATATTTTGTTTTGGGAGACATCTTTGCTCTTCCAATGTGATTTCGTTTTTCGATTCCATATTTTCGATCGTCTGTTATTATACTTTACATATATTTTTTTTTTAAAATAATTGTTCAATTTCCACGTCTCCAAAGTGTAATTAACTGCCCCTTTTCTTTGCAACAATATATATTGCCTTATTACAATTGATTGTTATCCCTTTCCCCCTTTTCTTCACTTGTTTTGAAGTTTCCGCATTTTTCTTCCTGTGCCTGTCATTACCATAGTACCATCTGCGTATCCTGTGTCTAACGTCTCTACGCATAACTTTTTGGATCGCTAGTGTCGATATTAGTAAATACATACAGTCTTCGATTAACAAAGATAGGGGTTATGTAAGTTCTCAGGCGTACCACGGAACCCTTAAAAAATGGTCAGATTTGGTGAAATCTTTCGAATAGCGAACATTTCAGAACTCATCGACTAGCAATCATATTTGACACGAAGTCAGTCATGTTAATAATCACCGCAGTTTCTGCCGTTGAGACAGTCATGAAATAAAATGTCTACTATCCTGTGTTCTCGGAGCTTATAAGAAACGTGTATTTCCATAATGGCAAATACTTGAAATGCTCCTGTTGCATACGTTGTCTTTTGGGAGAAATACTTCTAACGTTCAGAAATGACTTCACCATCAGCCACGAAGAATATTTTATAATATATTCGAAATCATAAAAAAAAAAATTAATTGAAAGTAAGTTCCCTAACCTCATAATTGCTAAAC